GAGTCCGCCTCTGTCCCCCAGGGAATGCAAGCGCACACAGGGAGTGTCCACCACGGACCTCGTGGGCCGCATGCTGCTGGTGACCAAGGCCCATCACAGCAGCCAGGTGAGCGGGGCGCTGAGTCCCTGAGGTCCTGGGTGGAGGGTGCTGTGGGGACGGAGGCAGAGAGCCCCTCTCTGTCCACTCAGGGCCATCGTGCCCACCCCTCCCTTCCCCTTCCTGCTCCTGGCCTGGCCACGTCTGAAGGGCAAGGCCCCTCAGCCCCGCTCTGCCTTCCGTGCAGGAGATGTCCTCCGAGTACCGGGAGTATGCGGACAGTTTCGGCAAGGTGAGCGCGGCCCGTGCTGCCCGCCCCAGGCACGCAGCTGGTGCTTGGCTGCCGTGGGGCCCTCTTCCCCAGCCGCCCTGGCCACCGCTTGGGGAAAGGCCAGCCCAGAGCCTCAGCCTCCGCCCTCCCTTCCTGGCGATGACCAGGTACTGACTGCCAGGCTCGGCCAGCTGGTGGACGCCGGGAGGGAGGGCAGGCAAGAGCCGGCTCTGGCTGGCCAGTCGCAGCGGCCACTGCTTGGAGGCAGAACAAGGACTGCCCGTGGACAGGTGGCCTCTAACCAAGCGGCCTGGCCCTTTCTCCCTTTGTAGCCCCCTCACCCGCCACCTGCCGGGAACACGCTTTCCTCAGAAGGCTCCTCCCAGGTGACCAGTCAGCGGCCTCAGGGTGCTGGGTGCCCCCAGGGCTGTGTCTGCCGGCCACAGGGCTCCTCGCCTCCTCCCAGTGGTCCCTCGCCGGGCTGAGGTCACGTTGCCGTGGTGCCTGCTTTGGCCACGGGCCGGTGCCACAGTCCTGCCTGTTGCCTGGCCTGGCAGTAATGTGTCCCCTGCCCCTTCCCGGGACGGCGAGGGCTGCTGGGCTGCTGGCAGGCTGTGTGGGGGCTGTGCAGCCCTGGCCTGCAGTGCAGCTGCCGCAGCTCCCAGGGCAAGTGGACGGGTGGGCACAGGCAGCCCAGGCTCAGGAGCGGCCCTGGGGCAGGGGCCAGGTGAGGCCTGGCAGGCCTCTGCCGCTGACCAGCTCGTCTCTGGCTTACAGTGCCCTGGGGGGCGGAACCCTTGGACGGGGGTGTCCCAGTTTCTGCAGACGTCACAGAAGATCATCCAGTTTGCTTCTGGGAAGGAGCCGCAGCCAGGGGAGACGGTCATCTACGTGGCTGGCGCCTTCGACTTGTTCCGTATCCTCCGGCCTCTGCTGCTCCACACCCACACCGCGTGGGGCAGGACCTCGGCACCTCAGGGCTCCCCGGCTGGGATACAGGGGAGCAGCCGTCAGCAGGGAGCAGGGTGGCGAGGCTGGTGGGCGTGAGCTGTCCTAGAAGCCCGAGTCCCCGGGTCCTGCAGGCTCTGTCCCCCACCCCGTCCCCGACATTGCTTCTTAACCTGGCACAGACATCGGGCACGTGGACTTCCTGGAGAAGGTGCACAGGCTGGCAGACAGGCCCTACATCATTGCTGGCTTGCACTTTGATCAGGTCACTGTCCCGTGCCACTCACTCCCCTGGCGGCCTGGGCGGCTAGTGGGCTGTGGAGGCCCTGAGGGGGCTCCTGCGGTGGTGCCGGCACCGGCGGTCTCTGGAGGAACGAGGCCCCAGGTGCCTGGCGAAAACAAAGGAGACCCTGGGGCATGAGCTTGCGCTGTTAGGATCCAGGGTTGTCCTGCCCAGGGTGTCCCCAGGAGGGTGGTCACCTTTCCCGACTTCCCGCAAGGGGCAGCTAAGAGCTAAGAGCGTCCCCGCTTACCGAGGTCCCTGCGCTGAACCCCCTCGCTCTGCCCTAGGAGGTGAATCACTACAAGGGGAAGAACTACCCCATCATGAACCTGCATGAGCGGACCCTGAGCGTGTTGGCCTGCAGGGTGAGCGCGCCCACGGCCGCCCCGGAGGGGGTGTGGGGGTGTCCCGCAGCGACTCCAGGCCCTCCCTGAGCCAGGGCACAGTGCTGCCCGGCAGCCCCTGCTTGGTCAGGCGGGAGGGGGTGGTTGGGCCTCCCTGAGGAGCCTGCCAGCCCCGACGTTCTGCCTGTGTCCCTGCTCACGTACCCCTGCAGGCCTCAGCCCTGCGTCTGGGGCCATCTCCCTCCACCCTCTGGCCCTGGCTTGGCAGGAACAGGGACCAAGCAAGACGCTGTGCTCACTGTCCCCACAGTATGTGTCGGAAGTGGTGATCGGGGCCCCCTACGCCGTCACGGCAGAGCTCCTGAGCCACTTCAAGGTGAGGCTGTGTGTGGGCTGGGAGTATCGTGCTGCTGCCCCCAGGAGGTGCCTGGGCTGCGGAGGGGCAGGGCCAGCCCTCCCAGGCCTGGGGTCTGCACCGGGCCATGGACAGTGGTGGGGGTGCCCTGGGGAGGGCGCCTGACCCCCACTCCTCCTTCAGGTGGACCTGGTGTGTCACGGGAAGACAGAGATCGTGCCTGACAAGGATGGCTCTGACCCGTACCAGGTGGGTCATGCTGGCCCTCGCTGGGCGCAGGGGCTGCCATCTGGCACTTCCCAGGCATGTACAGCCTCTTCCTCATGCCTGCCTGGGGAGTGGCGCAGTGACCACTGCGCTCCACCTGCTTCATGGGGTGAGGCAGCAGGAGCTGTCGCACCCACAGGCCCCGAGTGCTGGTCTCCCTTGGGTGGGGAGGCTGGGCTAGTCTCTGCGAGGTCGGGGGGAGGGGGACCTCATCTCCCTCCTCTGCGCCTTCAGGAGCCCAAGAGAAGGGGCATCTTCTGTCAGATCGACAGCGGCAGTGACCTCACCACGGATCTCATTGTCCAGAGGATTATCAAGAACAGGTGAGGCCAGGTACCGTGGCGCACACCTGTAGTCCCCGCACCCTGGGAGGCTGAGGCGGGAGGATCCCTTGAGCCTAGGAGTTGGAGGCTGCCGTGAGCTATGATGACACCACTGCACTCCAGCCCAGGAGACAGCAAGACTGTGTCAAAAAAAAAAAAAGTGAATGGGGGTTGCTCGTGTGACGCATTGTTCAGCTCACCCCAGCCTGGCCCCCCAGGTTAGAGTACGAGGCGCGAAACCAGAAGAAAGAAGCCAAGGAGCTGGCCTTCCTGGAGGCCATGAGGCAGCAGGAGGCACAGCCCTCAGCGGAGAACGACAGCAGCTTCTGACCCGGGGACAGTTGTGGAGAGCCCCCCGCCGGCCCTCCCTCCCTGCTCTGCTTCTGTGTATTAGGGTTTGGCTCTCACGGTTCTTAAGGAAGCCACAGTGCCACTTCTCTAACTGTCCTGGCTAGGGGGACACTTGGGTTGGCAGGGACCTGGCCTCCCACCTGCCTGCAAGGTGCCTGTCTGCTGCAGGTGCTCAGCCTTTACCGCTAAGCTGCTCAGAGAGGGCGTCTAGCAGAGGCGAGCAGCCCAGCAAGCAGGATGGGCAGTGGCAGCCTGCACGTCTGTGTGCTTCTGTCCCCTGTCCTGCCGCCTGCCCACCCAGCTCTGGCGGGAGGCCCAGTGAGAGCGCTTCAGGGAGCAGTGACCCAGGGGTGCCCCCTTCTCAGGGTGCAACCCATGCCACCTCCCAAGTGGGTGCCCTCTCCCCCATGGCTTGTCCCAGCGCCAGAAGCCCTGCTCCCCGGCCAGCTCTGCCACTCTCCACACAGGCTGCTCAGTTCTGCACCTCACTGGCCGATGTAACTCTCTGGAACAACCTAATAAAGCCTGATGGGCAGAGCTGTGTCCGGCACCCGGCCCTGCTGGGAAGGACCAGGGACCCACCCACCCTGCACCCCTGCTCCTACCACACACCCACCAGGGAGGAAGACGATGGGCAGCCCGGTGGCCAGTGGGCCCCCAGACCCCAGCCCTATGCCGCCTCAGGCTGCCCCCGATAGCAGGGCACACAAGAAGAGGGAGGGGCAGAGCCCAGTTGGCAGATGGGGGGCTTGCCCCTGCAGCCCCTCTCTGGAGCCACCAAATCTCCACCTCCTGCAGCCAAGTCAGAGCCCCTTGGAGCCGTAGGAGCCTGCAGAACGCTCAGGGCAGCCACCTGGTGTCTGGGGAGGCAACAGACGGGCTGGTCTTGGAGTGTTCACAGTGAGGGCGACTGCAACAGTGATTTTGTTCAGTCCAAACCGCTTCCCTCCTGGATGGCTTCTGCCCTGAGCCTGCTGAGCCATGGGGGGCCGGCACCCCTGCAGCTCAGCCCCACGGGCCTTTCCTGCCCTTCCCTTTCAATTCAGCTGTCTTCAGATCTGCCTCATCTGCTGTGCTGGGGCCATGTGCATCCCAGCCCCAGCCCCACTGGGCCCCACCTTCAGGAGCAGGTGGTGTTGTCACTGTCACACTCAGACCCCTGGGCTGGGGGCTCCCCTGTAGACCTACCGATGAGGAGGATGGATGGAGCTTCCTGGCCACTGGACCAGGGGGAGGGTGGAGGTGGGACTTGGGGCTGTCCCCTCAGCAGCAGGTGGGGCCCAGGTTAGTGCCCCAGAGACCTGTCCATGGCGGTGAGGTGAGAACCCACCCATGGCCCTGGGCAGTAGGTGGTCAGGTTCAGCCACAGGTCCCTGCAGCCTTGCATGGAGCCCGGCCAGAGGCTCTGTTCACGCCCTGGAGGAGACTAAAGTCAGCTTCTGAGGTTTGGCTTGGAGACCTGAGAGACCCTAAGTGTGGGGTGGGAACCTCCCTGCTAAATTCGCAGGAGTGTTGTAGGGGGAGAGCGGGCCAGGGCTCCCGCAGGCGGAACCAGGGTTGTCCCCAGCTGGGTCTGGTGGCCCAGGCCACCCTGGTGTGGTCTTGTCTTCTCCATGACTCCCTCCCCTGCCGCACCTCCAGTGAGCCTCACTCCTGGGCCGGCTTTACTTATTTATTCATTCAGCCATAGACTGCGGGTGGGGTGGCATAGGAGAGTAGTAGTTGGGGCTTCATCCCGTGCCTGAAAGGGACTGGGGACCCCCCACAGGGACAGTCACGTCGCGGGTGTGGGCAGCTGGGGGCCGGGCGAGGTTCCTGGCGTCAGGCCCCGCGGCAGTCAGCTGCGCGCAGCGACAGGAAGACGTCCGCCTTGCACTGGAAGGTCCCGCGTCCGTCGGGGAGTCGCTCGCAGCTCCGCAGGTTCGGGGCGACCTCCTTGACACACACGGCCTGGGGTGGGCGGGAGGAAACTAAGGGGGCCGCCTGCGTCCCCACCCCGATACCCCCAGCCGAGCCCCGTCCTCGCCCGCGCCCCAAGCTGCACTCACGAGGCTCTGCAGGTTGGGGCGCAGCTCCGGGACGGTGGCAGCTGCGGCCGGGGATGTGCCCGCGACGGAGGGCTCGGAGCGCCGGGCGTACGGGGACCTGCGGAAGCCGGACAGCAGCCCCGCGGCGCGGCCCACCGAGTAGTAGCTGGGCCCGGCCGCCTGCTTGTACCACGCGCGGCCGGGCGGCACCAGCAGCAGGCACAGCGCCAGGGCGGCGGCCGCCAGCGTCGCGGGCCGGGCCATGGGGACGCGGGCGAGGGGCGTCGGGGCTTGGAACAGCCGGCGCCCGGGCCGCGCCTTTTATCTTGGGTGCGGCGGGGCGGGGCGGGGCGGAGATGCGGGGGTGGAGGGCAGGTGGGGGTGCGCGGAGGACCTGTCCTGCTCTCCATCCCAGGGAAGAAGCTGCGCCCCGTCAGCGCCCGCAGGCGCAGGAGAGGCTGGAACTGCCGAGGGCTCTGGCGCCTGTGGGAGCGCGGCGCTCCCTCCCGCTCCTCGCCACGCCCAGCCGGGGAGCAGGGTGAGCGGGCGTGAGCCCCCAGCCAACCCGAGGGGGCACCAGCCCTAGGAGTCTCCCCGCCCCCCGGGTTGCCCAGCGGTCCTGAGGCTGGAGGGAGAGCCCAGGGAGCAACTTCTCCCGCCATAAAGGGGAACAGACCTCAGGGCCCAGGGGGGCTTCTTCATAAGTCCACAGGTGGGTATGGGGCCATGGTGTTTTGTGGCCATGGGGAGGTGACCTGCCAACAGGGCTGCAACCAGCCGGGTCCTCTAGGAGGTTCTGTGAGGCCAGGCCCCAACCTCAGGCAAACCAGACCAGGAGGCCACAGTCTGGAGGCCCTTGGCCTGGGATATGGAAGTCCCAGCCTTGCCCAGCTCTGCCCTGGGGGCGGGTGGCCTGGGAGGCCCTTGGTGAGTGTGCACCTTGACCCTTCTTTCCATTCACAACACTCTGGTCACAAAGGGAAGGAGATGCTGCCCAGCTGGAGGTCAGGTACCTCCAGCCAAGGCCCTGGAGGAGAACAGGACATAGTCCTGGAAACAGGGAAATGGAGCTATGGAGGGCATGGGGCATGGGGGTGCTCCTGGGAGACAGAGTGGGGAGGCCCAGGAGCTTCTGTGCCCACCTGGGGAGGGTGGCTGAGGTGGGCATGAGGCTCCAGGGCTGGGGGACCCCTGGTCCACATGGCCTTCGGGCAGCCATGGGTCCAGCTCCAGAGGAACAGAGGACCCTGCTGGAACCCAGAAACCCCAGAATTTAAGGAATCCAAGTGGCTGGGAAGCCAGAGGGAGGCTGTGTGGCCACACCATAGTTAAGAGGTGAGCCTGGCGCCTCAAAGCACACAGTCCTTGTGCACTTCCTGCCACATGGGGAGGTTCCAGATATAGGACGAGGTTTGACATACTCCCCGTGGAAAGGTTCCTCAGGAGCGTGCAGAGCACTCGAGGGAGGGGAGGCGGCAGGAATAGGCCAGAATGAACATGACGCCCAGACCGTGGGGTGGCTGACCCCAGTAAGTCCTTGGACCCCCAGTCAGGGAAAGCCCAGGAAGCTCCAAATCCGCAGATCTCACGCCCTCTCTGCAGCCCTGCCCAGGACCTGACCTGGCCACACCCATCTCCTGTGATGGGTGGTCTGGTCTTCCCTTCCAAGCTGTGGGCCCCCTGGACTCCAGGGGGCAGGTGCCAGTGCCTAGATCCAGAGTCGCTGTGGGTGGACAAGTGGCTTCATAGTCTGCCCTGCACTGGCCAGATGTAACTGCTTGCAGAGCTGGCAGGAGCCAGCCCTCCCCTGGGGTGACACTGGATCTCATGCTTCCCGAACATCCTGGTCACAATGCATCTTCCTTTAGGTGCTGTTGCCCCTGGCACCTGTTTCTGGGCAAGGGCAGGTGGCCTCTGGTTTCCATGAGGGCCCTCTCCTTTGGGCACGCTGACAAAGCTTGAAGCTCACAGCCAACTCAAGTGCCTGGGAGGCTCCGCCCATCCTAGGTGATGCCTGGTCTCTTTCCCGAGGTGCTGTGAGTAGACGGACAATGAGTGTAGAAGTGGCTGCAGTGGCACGGGGCACTGACCCCCAGGGCTCCTGGGGACACAGCCACAGCAGTCTGCATCCAGAAACTGCCGGAGATTCCCAGGGCTGGGGCTGCTAGGCCCCCTGTGGCCGCCCCCCCCAGGAGTTGTGGGGAACAGAGGTGCCCAAAGGAGCCTCCCAAGGCCGTTCTCCCCTCAGACACATCCTGATGAAAGGACAGATCGGTACCTACACTGGGGGAGGCCCAGCCCAACTAGGATCTGCCTTCAGTGCAAGTGAGGGATAAGGGACAGAGAGAACAGATGGCTCTGGCAGCCTCGGGCACCCCGTCTCCTCAGCATGCCCAGAGCCTGCTCAGGGACAGCTGCCTCCTGCCAGGAGGGACCAGGCGCAGCGGCTGCCAGCTGTGCCCAGCCAGGGTCCCACAGAGCTGGCCTGGAGGGTCCTAGGGCCCCAGCTGGGCTTCCATCAGGCTGCAAGAGGGCACAGACACACCCCAGGGCCTTTGCCCAGACAGGCCCTGCCCCAGGCCCCACTGTCTGGTCCTCCCAGAGTTGTGACTCAGGATTTGAGGCATCGAGATGTTTATTCATGAGTTTTCATATAAACACACACCCAGAGGCCTCCGGCAGGGTTCCAGTAGTTTAATGAGTTTTACTTATTGGATAAAAGTATCAACATTATGATGGAAAAACAGATGCAGCTCCAGTCCTTTTTCCAACCCTGTCACAGGTTCCCTGGGGGCCCATCCCCAGCAGAGACCACAGCCACCGGTCTCATCAAGAAGACCAGGTCTCGGGATGCCACGTGGGGTGAGGGGCTGAGTGCAGGTGGGGCGCAGGGGCAGGAGCCCTCACTCCTTGAACTTCCACTCCTGGCGGCACATGGGGCAGTGCTGCTGGGCCTGCTGCGCGTGCAGCCACTTGAGGATGCAGTGCATGTGGAAGCAGTGTGAGCACTGGCCCCACACCAGCGGGCAGTCGTCGCCGGGCACCTTACCTGCGGGACAGGGGGGGACAGCTGAGGGAGGGCTGGCCACTTGGGGCCAGGCTGGGCATATAGAGCATGTGACAAGCTAGGCAGGGATGGAGGCACAGGGACCCCAAGATAGCAGATGGGGTACCAGAGTCTCTTTTGTTTCAGAGGACGCAGAAACCCAGGCGGTTACCCGCTCGGTTACCCAGCCAGCCTGCCTCCAGGCAAACACGCCGCACCAAGGGCTTTGAGAGATGAGGCCTCACCCCGGGTGCCACAGCGGTCATCTCCCCTCAGCCAGGCAAGTGATGCTCAGGCGGAGCCCAGGGGCCTCCTCTGAGTTGGCATCAGGGAGGAGCAGCTCTGGCCTGGCCCACTGGATGTCCCCGTGTCATCCCACCTGCAGACCCTCGATCTGTGATGCTGTGGTCGAGGCACCAAGGAGACACCCAACTGGGTCGTTAGTTAGTCTCTTGATCAAGGGCAGGAGGGGTGAGGCCCTGGGGACACAGTGGTTTCTATGCACCAGTTCTGATGGGCACTGCCTTCCATCTTGTTCCTGTCTGTAGCCTGTCCCACCTCCAAGGCCAGGGTGCAGGCTGCAGGCACTGGTCCCTGTGTCTAGAAATACTCTCCCTGTGCCTTGGAGAGGGCCTGGTGCAGAAAAGGACACTCTGTATCACCCATGATCAAGAGAAACTAGCGTCCCTGATTTCCAAGAGCCTAGAAAACTCCATGGAACAGCTGGTGCCAGCAGAGCACAGCAACTCCCCCTGGACCCAGCCCCGACATCGGGGTTCTCATACCTGCCTCCGGCCCCTTCTAGGACCCCTCTACCTGCCAGGGCCTTTCCAGCCTCAGCAGAACTGTGTGTGAAGTCACATATTTCAAATTAGAGCTGAAGCCTGAGAGCCCACCACCGAGTAGGACCTGTCTAGACGTGGGAGGGCTGTAGCACCCTGTCTACCCGTGGGAGGGCTGATTTGGATGGAGCTGCTGCTTCCTTCTAGTGACCCTCCCAACAAGCAGCCTGCCCGGCTGCCTGGTGGGTGTGTGACTACCCCGAGCATGACTCACGCAAGGACCTACTGGTGTCTTGATATTTTAATTAAAATACCTCTCAACAAGACTGCTTTACTCCCAAAGCCCTGTGGGATGTGGAGATTTATTATTTATTGCCCTCAGGTTCCCAGTCTTTGCAGCACTTAGTCACTCTGGATTTTTCACAGGGGTTCAATTTTCCCAAGAGAAATCTGACACATTGGACTTGTCAAACACTTTGCACATTAAAATGGGCTCACTGTAACTTAACCACCACAAATTAGACTAGATTCCCCACTCTCTACAGCCAATGGGCCCCACATCAACAAAACCTGAGCACACAGCGCGTGCGGAGACGCTGAATGCCAATGGGTGCAGGGCCCCATCTGGATGCCCAGCTGGCATGGCGCGGGCTGGGCTGAGGCTGTGGTGGGCCCGACCTCATGGTCAGGCAAGGCTGGCAGCTCTGGACCCCACCAGTGCCATTTTCATACACGGGCTCCACTGCCTCCCTACGTGAGGCCAGACCAAGCACAGGCACATGGCCATTGCTAAAAATGTTTTTGAGGACTTTCTCGAAGTTAACAACCTGTTGCTCTGGAAGTTGAGTGTGCTTGCCCTCATGTTCCTACAGTCTTTGTTGTACCCTTAAAAGCAATTTAAAAGAGATTAAACAAAGGCAGACCTCATTGGTTTAGTTATTAATCTCTTTAGCTATTAAGTAAAACTTAATCAGATAGAGTCAATCAATGACTTCCTAAGATTATATTGTGCCCCTCTGATTGAATCAGGATTCAATTCAGCCTTGGATTAAGGCTCATGCCTATAATCCTACTACTCTGGGAAGCCAAGGCAGGTAGATCACTCAAGGTCAGGAGTTCGAAACCAGCCTGAGCAAGAAGAGCCAGACCCTGTCTCTACTAAAAATAGAAAGAAAATCAATTGGCCAACTAAAATATGTAGAAAGAATTAGCCAAGCATGGTGGTGCATGCCTGTAGTCCCAGCTACTAGGGAGGCTGAGGCAGAAGGATGGCTAGAGCCCATGAGTTTGAGGTTGCTGTGGGCTAGGCTGACGCCATGGCACTCTAGCCCAGGCAAAGAGTGAGACTCTGTCTCAAAAAAATAAATAAAAATAAATAAATAAAAGAGATTAAACAAAGGCAGACCTCACTAGTTTAGTTATTAATCTCTTTATTTATTTATTTGAGACAGAGTCTCACTTTGTTGCCCAGGCTAGAGTGAGTGCCATGGCATCAGCCTAGCTCACAGCAACCTCAAACTCCTGGGCTCAAGCAATCCTCCTGCCTCAGCCTCCTGAGTAGCTGGGACTACAGGCATGCACCACCATGCCTGGCTAATTTTTGGTGTATATATATATTAGTTGGCCAATTAATTTCTATTTATAGTAGAGATGGGGTCTCGCTCTTGCTCAGGCTGGTTTCCAACTCCTGACCTGGAGCAATCCGCACCACCTCGGCCTCCCAGAGTGCTAGGATTAGAGGCGTGAGCCACCCTGCCGGGCCAATCTCTTTAGCTATTAAGTAAAACTTAATCAGGTAGAGTCAATCAATGACTTCCTAAGATTATATTGTGCCCCTCTGATTGAATCAGTATGGATTAACTTCTGAGTGATGAGATTTCTTTTCAGCTAGGATAGATGTAAAAATTAAGCCTAGAATAAAAAGTATTTTTATGCATATACTACATTTTAAAATTTAAAAAATTTAAAAATTATTTTTTAAAAAAGTATTTGTGCTACAATTCAAATGATTTGAATTTCACTGTAGAAGTAAACCCCTATTATTATCCTGGGTATTTACCCAGCCACACAGAAACAGACCTTGTTTACTCCCAGCAGTAAAGAAGAGTGTCTCAGGCTGGGCGAGGTGGCTCCAGCCTGTAATCCTAGCCTGGGCAACAAAGCGAGACTCTGTCTCACAAAAAAAAAAAGAGTATCTCAGTCCTCCCCATGCCCCACTGTCCTCTTGGGAATGGCTCTTGTCCTCCCTGGGCAAAGCCCTGACACTTGCTCTGCTTTATGTTCATTGTGGGGGTATTACTAAAAGCCAAAATCACTGGTGCAAAATCTGCTTTTACCCTAAATGTAATCAACCATTTTCACTTCACAGAATATATGGGGATACAGGAACAATGCAAAAGACACCACAAAGAAAAAAATCTGACAAAATCTGAAGAGGGGGCATTCTACAACATGACATTCCAGTTTTTTATGAGTCAAATGCCTGGGAAAAAACTGAAATGGGGCAAAAGGAGGGACTGTTCTAGATCAACAAGCTGAGAGACGGGAAAATGACAAAACCACCTAACCATGAAAAGCCATTTGGTTTTGCTCACAACTTTTTAGGGGAAAAAAAAAGAAAAGAAAAAGCCATTTGGTGAACAAGTACTGAGTGACTGTCGTGTTGTCAGATCTTACAATAGCTGTGGGCAAAAAAGACACATCTGGCTGAGCATGGTAGCTCACGCCTGTAATCTTAGCACTCTGGGAGGCTGACTTGGGAGGATCATTTGAGCTCAGGAGTTTAAGACCAGCCTGAGCAAGGGCAACTCCCCAACTCCACTAAAAAAATAGAAAAAAATTAGCTGGACAACTAAAAAATATATATACATGTATAAAAAAAATGAGCCAGGCATGCCTGTGGTCCCAGCTACTCGGGAGGCTGAGGCAGGAGAATCGCTTGAGCCCAGGAGTTTGAGGTTGCTGTGAGCTAGGCTGATGCCAGGGCAGGCTAGCAACAGAGTGAGACTCTGTCTCAAAATTTGGAAATTTGCAAACAAAATAGAATGGTTTAAGAGCACCTTCTTGCCCAGCACTTTTCAGGACACTGAATGACGTCTTAACGTATTTGTCCTTGTGCCAAGTATTTTAAAGTAAATTATAAACATGACGTCTCACCACACACTTCAGCCATATGTGGGGTTTTTTTTTGGTCAACTTTTCTTCAGAAAAATTAAACTAAAACCCAAGGATTTCGTGCAGGTATTTATCAGGAGCTGACAAAGCTGGGCCCAGAGGCAGGCTCAGAGAGCACAGGGGGAGACACTTACAGTCGGGACAGCAGCCATTAAATGCCATCCTGCAGATGCCGCAGTTCTCATCATTGGCCACCCAGAGCCAAGTGGCCACGCCGTTCCAGCACTTGATCTTCACCTTCATGTTAGCGGAGCCTGCGGGCTGAGGGGAAGAGGGTTACCTGCTAAATTTAGTCTGCAGACCTACACCACCTAGGCATCAAAGTAGCCCAGAGGACGAGCGTTGCAGAACAGCTACTGGAGAACAATCTGCTTGTCCCTTCAGTCACCGAGAGAAAAAGGCCCAGCCCTGGCTGCTCACGGGCAGGGAGATCACATTTGGGAGCGCAGGGCGCTCTCCCGAGTTTGGTTTTGCCAGTCACTGAAGATCACTTCAAAAATCCCAAGTAATACCTTAAGTCCATGAAAAGGAGCACTGGTTTTCGTTAACACATTGCAAAAAATATGCCACACGATATTTTAAAGACATTTTTAAAAGTGCTGGGCAAGAAGGTACTAACTTCGGGGTTCTCAGGTGGAGGCCCAAGCTCCCGCGCACTACGTTTTCATCTCCCGGGAAAACAAAGCCCAAAACAAACGAGCCGCCCGTGCGCGCCCGGATGCGACCTGCCTCGGGCCGCGCCGACGGAGTCCGCCCCCACCAGGCCGGTTCCCACCTGGGTCGGCGGCCGCGGCGCGGGACTGAGGTGACAACCCCAGTCCGCTCCGGGAACCCGCTCGCAGCGCCCCTCGCCCGAGGCCGGCCCGCGACCGCAGGGCGGGGCGGAGGGCCGCCAGGCCCCGCCCCCAACGGCCGCCGTCCCACCCCTGCGCCCTCACACCTTCGCCAACCTAATCACGCGCCGCCCCGCCCGCCCTTCCGTTGGCAGCGCCGGCGTCCGCGCGGGAAGGTATAAAAACGACCACAGCGGCAGCCGGCATGCTCAGTTGCGCCCGCCGAGCCCAGCGCACGAGCGCGCACGCGCCTCCCCGCCCCGTGCGTGCAGCCGCCCGCCAGCGACCAATCCGCAGCCGCTCCGAGGCTAAGGCTCCGGAAGGGCCCGCGCGGCGCAGGAAGTGACGCGCCGGCGTGCTGACGCGCGGGCTGGAGCCGAGGCCCGATTCCGCGCCCGCCATGGCCGACAAAATGGACATGTCTCTGGACGACATCATTAAAATGAACCGGAGCCAGCGAGGCGGTCGCGGCGGGGGCCGGGGCCGCGGTCGGGCCGGCTCCCAGGGCGGCCGCGGTGGCGGAGCGCAGGCCGCCGCGCGAGTGAATCGAGGCGGCGGGGCCATCCGGAACCGGCCGGCCATCGCCCGCGGCGCGGCCGGCGGCGGCGGCAGAAACCGACCGGCGCCCTACAGCAGGGTGAGTGGGGAGGCTGGCCGGCGCCGCGGGAGGGCGGAAAGGCGAGCCGGGGCCGAGGGCCGCCCGCGGAGGCCCGGCCCGGCGGACTGAGGGGGCCGCTGGAGCAGGCCTCCCCCAGGCCCAGCGGGTGCGAGCGGGCGCCGAGCGGGTGGTGGGCGGGGGCGAGGTCGTGCGGTCGGGGCCTGGCCTGGGAGGCGGAGACCCTTTCCGGCTCTTTGTGTTGTCTGGGCGCAGTGGCCTCATGGTGGCGGGAGTTGAGGGGATGCTGGGCGCGGCCGCATTAGCGGCGGGAAGTTAGTCAAAGAGAACTGAGAAGTTGCGCGGCCGCGGTGGGACCGTGGGACCGTGGGGCTTCAGGCTGAGGGATTGCATTGCCGCACGAGGGTTGGCGGTCCCATCTCTCGACGTCCTCCAGGCTCCGACGAGGGAGGGTCTGGGGTAGCTGTGAGCGCAAGGGAGAGCCCTGGACTGAATCTCACTGGTCTGTTTCTGTTTTTGTTTGCCGTTGTTTCTTTCAGCCAAAACAACTTCCTGACAAGTGGCAGCACGATCTTTTTGACAGCGGCTTCGGGGGTGGTGCCGGTGTGGAGACGGGTGGGAAACTGTTGGTATCGAATCTGGATTTTGGCGTCTCAGATGCTGATATTCAGGTAAGAGCAGGGAACTTCTCAGCGAGCTATGCACAGAATGGATCATATTGTTTGGGATGTGGCCCTGAATCCCCTCCCTGCTGCACAAGGGTTAGCCACTTTTCCCCTCTGAGGGGCTGCAGGGCAGACGCAGTGCCAGTGTAGAGCAGAGGTCTGCTGGGGTTGCAAGTCTGACAGGTAGGCCAGTCCACTGGAAGACAGGACCCTAGTGTAGCCTGGAGAGCTACTGCTCTTTGAAAGATGTTCTGTGAGTGAAAGTCCTCTGCAGGGCTTCTGATTTCTCACAGGGACAGAGATTGGTCACATGTGAGTGGTTCCTGTGTGTTACTGTTGGACCTAGGCCACTTACTTTTTTGATTTTGTGCCTATTTTAGCAAGCTAATGTGAGAAGAATCTTCTCAGCATAACTGATACAGCCAACGTACCCGTGCGCTCTTCTGGCTCTGTTTGCCCTGAGTACTGCGTCACAGACTTAGTGCCCTGCAATCTTACCATTCCGTAGTACCCCACGTCTTGTCAGTAGCATAGTTCTCAAACCTATCTTTGGTTGAGCTTTTTTTTTTCTCTTTTCTTTTTTTTTTTTTTTCTTTGTTTTTGGACCCCAAAGGCATTTAAACTTGTTTTCCGGTTAAGAGATGGCTTTTTGGGAATCAGTCTTGGAGATGGCTGGGTCAGGGTGCTAGGCCTTCCTGGGTTTAATTCCCCAGAGCCCAGCCACTTGGCTTTGCCTTGGGAGGACAGAGGAGGGCCAGTGAGCATTCACAGTGTCTCAACACTTTTTTTAAGGTGGTTTCTGGCATCCACTGGAAACCGCTTTTGGTGAACTCCACTTCCCGCTGTGTGCCTGCGGCCGGAGTAGCCCCACACTCTGGGTTCCCTCTCCAACTCCCAGCCTGCCTGAGGTCAGGGCAGTTTCCATGGCAGCGCTTGACTTCAGACTTTGCGGCAGGCTTGAGTAGGAGGAGAGGGAAAGGTGAGCCAGAATCCGCCTTGGGGGAGGGGATGGGGTCAGGGCTCCTGAATCAGCAGGCCCTTCTAGCTGCTCTGGTCTGCCAGGCAGCTTCCCTTGGTCTTGATCTTGGCCACTGCTGTTTCTTGGAACAGCCCTTGGGTGTATTGTAAATTTTCCTTTATTTAAGAGGATAGCGACTTAATTTTGTGCCCTTTGTGACTTCCTTTACCTGCGTCATGGTATGGATGGCAGGAGCCCTCAGACCCAGGTGCTCTTGGAAGTTGCTGTCCCTCCTGCCCCATCCCTTCCCTCCATTCCCATCACCACTCCCTGCCTCCCAGGGAAGCACCCCAAAGCAGCTCACATTCCCAGGGACTGTCCCTGGGCTGCCAGAAGGAAAACAGCTTTGTTGCTTTCCTAACAGCTGCTCTTTCTGACTCCCAGGAGCTCTTTGCCGAGTTTGGAACGCTGAAGAAGGCAGCTGTGCACTACGATCGCTCTGGCCGCAGTTTAGGAACAGCAGATGTGCATTTTGAACGGAAGGCAGATGCCTTGAAGGCAATGAAACAGTACAATGGTGTCCCTTTGGATGGTGAGTCTGGGGCTGGAGCCAGGCTGACTGGGGGCTGTGGCATTTGGGCCAGCACCTGCCCGTGTAGGGATATGGCCCAGCCCCTGGCTGAGGACACTTTGCATTTGCCCCTTTGTCTCTCTCTTCCATTCTGCCACCTCTCATGCTGCCCCACACATCTGGACCAACCTCTTGTGAACCCCCATCCAGCAAGCTACATCCCTCCCCTCCTTCAGCTCCTTCCGGAAGACTCACTTCTGTGAAGCCTTCTCAGAACCGCCATAGTACACCTCTGAGTGCGGGGCTGTAGTCGTAAAGACAAAGGTACCGGTTCTTCTTCCGTCAGGTCACCCACACCTGTCCACCCATGAGCACCCTGGACACCTGAGCAAACAGCCCACCTAGCCTGGACTGAGAAGGAGTGAGGAGTGTTGGTGGGGTTGTTGTCATTGCCATTTTGTTCTCCCACCAGTATCTCTAGGCCATTTCCCTTGTCGGGGGCATTTGAGACGCACAAAGGCCCTTTCCAGAGTTTGCATGGAGACCAGGGTGTGGTACCACCTAGATGGATTTCAGAACCTCTGATTGGAATGTGTCTTCTTGTATCCTTTGCCACAGGCCGCCCTATGAATATTCAGCTCGTTACATCACAGATTGATACACAGCGGAGACCTGCGCAGAGGTGATTTCCGGGGCGGGATGAATGGCATGTGGCGTGGCTGCATCATCCGGGGCCTTCCTAGGTGTGTGAACAAGTGTCATTTGCCTTGCTAGTGTAAACAGAGGCGGCATGACTAGAAACCGTGGCTCCGGAGGTTTTGGTGGTGGTGGCACCCGGAGAGGCACCCGTGGAGGCACCCGGGGAAGAGGCAGAGGCACGGGCAGAAACTCAAAGCAGCAACTTTCTGCAGAGGAGTTGGATGCCCAGCTGGACGCCTACAATGCAAGAGTAAGTCCAGGGCTGGGGAAAGGGGGGGTGGCCCAGCTAGGGACCAGCCAGAGATGGAGCTGGGGAGCAGGACCCCCCTTGAGCAAGAGCCTGTTTTCCTGTGTTTCAGATGGACACCAGTTAAACAGACCCACAAATCCACGTGTGGACCAGGACCCAGACGTCTCGTCGCGCTCCCTGGTGGGGGGTGGGGTGGGCGGCTGGGACTGTGTGGCCGATGATGGATTTGTTTCTTTTGTGTTTTAAAAATAGGATTTAAAAACTCATGTAAAGGTTTTCTTTCTTTTTTTTTTTTTTTTTTTTTTTTTTTAATTCTGAAGCAGACCTGTTTTGTACCGAGTTATTTTTGGGATAAATTTTACTGGTTGCTGTTGTGGAGAAGGTGGTGTTTTCACCTTTTCCATAATAAAATAGAAATGTGTGTAGAATTGGAGCTGTTTGATTCATCTCACTGTTGCAGTTCTCACTTGATCCAGAAGTTTGGTGTCTGTCCAGGCAGGAGGGAAGTGGAGGGGACCTGGAGGGAGCGTGTTGGGAGTAGTCCCGTATGTGGCATTTGGCATTGCCTGGCACAAGCATGGGGTTGGAGTCAGTCAGTGCTCCTGGAGGACCTTGGCTACCTTCTTTCCTGTCCCCTTTCCCACCTAACTCCTAATGCCTTACTCTCTAACTCAATAGGTGGGAGGACACCAGGGCAGTGGTGGCGCTTTGCCGGAGCTGCTTGTTCACTGTGCCTGCGCCTCAAGGTGAGGGACAGGGGGTAGGGTGGGGCTACCCTGTGTGCGATCCAGCAATTTCCCACGACCAGAAAATCCCTGAGCTGTTCCTTTTCTTTCTTGTACTCAGGTTCTCAGAAAAACTTGGATTTAGCTGTTCTGATTTTATAGTGTAACTCCTTGGTTTTTGTTTATTTTTTTAATGTTGTCTGAGAGCAAAGCTTAAGGGTACTCTTTTTCTTTTTGAGACAGGGTCTTGCTCTGGCAGCCAGGCTAGAGTGCAGTGACACTACCATAGCTCACTGCAGCCTCCAACTCCTGGGCTGAAGTCTCCTGCCTCAGCCTCCCCAGTAGCTGGGACTACAGGCACATGCCACCACACCTGGTTAATTTGGGTTTTTTGTTGTTGTTGTTTTGTTTTTTGTTTTTTTTTAGTAAAGACAGGGTCTTGGCTATATTGCCCAGGCTGGCCTTGAAATTGTGGCCTAAAGCGATCTTCCCTCCTCAGCCTCCCAAAGTGCTGGGATTACAGGCATGAGCCACCGTGCCTGGTTGGTGGTCTCTTAATTGTGTTTGAGTAAAATAGCTAGTGGAAGCTGTGAGGA